AAGTGCGATCGGACTAGCTTTTGAAAGTCATTAGGGATCTGTTAGGCTCGAAGTCGATATACCAAGGCTGAAAGTAGGTGAAAAATTAACTTCATTTTAAGATTTCTGGCGCTATGCGTCCAAACATACTCTAAGGAAGTATCAAAGCGGTGTACGCCATTTACCCTACTTCCTTCTGCCTCTTAAGCTGGGGCTCCTAAGAGCATCTACAGCCGAATTATAGGCGTCGGAGAGGGCTTACTGAATACATCCCTCTACCGTCAAAAAATGACTGCATTTACAAGAGAAGTTCAAAGAAGCCAATAAGTATTTATTCGCTAATGAAGCAAAACAGAATCATCAAGGGTCACTCTTTCTACTTCTTTTTACAAAATAGAGAGTTTGTTTATCACCACAGATAGAAGAAGCGTGAAATGATTGGAGCATTTCAACCACTCAAATCGTGCCAAGTGTATTTGCTCACGCATACCTGATTGGTAGGCACAAGCGACAATAAAATTGGTGAAATGGTCCACAATATCAGAATGGCCAGTGAAAGTTCGGTTTAGGTTTGTTGCCTCAATTAAGCATATTGCAACAACAGAAAGGGTAACTGAAACCTATCTACGATACTGAGAAAAATTGGAATAGATGGGGAACTGTGATTATCAGAGGCACGGGAAGATGAAAAGTAGACGAAACTTAAAGCACCTTATTGAAAAAAATGGTGACGCAACGTGCTGTCTTCCTAGTGGGTACCGTTGAATGAGTTTTTTTTTAACCACCGGTGTTTCATCAGAGATAAACGGGAGGAATAGCTTAAGCTGAGTACTTAATAAGGTAAGTTGATAAGAAAGATGTCAAGTCTGGACGGAGAAAGTATTTGGCTTACAGTAAGATTCAGGGCCACGAATATAACTGATTAGACAAAGGACTTTAATGCAGCTCAATGTGTTAGCAACGACAGGCGAGGCCAAATTTCAAGCAAGACGCAGCGACTATCGGGCTCGGAAATAACGCTACTACAGCGGAGCATCGGTGACAAGCAGCCCTATATACGAGCATTTCAGGAAACGGGCGAGCCAGTCGCATAATTTTTGTTTCGATCGACGAGCTTCCGTTCAGTGCGTGTG